GGGGGCGGGAGGAGGCGGGAGGGCGCGGTTTGCCGCCATTGGAGACGCATCAGCCGAGAGCGTGCAGGCTGCGTGGGCCGGGGGGGAGGGGCGCGAAGAGGAGGGAGAGGAGGAAAACAGAGCCCGACTCGACGAGGAGATCCAGATCGTGATTCACGTGCGCGCTGGAGGAAGTTGCCGAAGACGGATCACGCGAGGGCGGACTGGGACTGAGTGGGACGGTCATCGTCGCAGCAAGGCGGACGAGTGAGTGAGTGAGCGATGGCTTCGCCGCACCTCAAGGCAGTCATCTTCGACGTACGTCCATGCCCATGCCCATCTTTCCGACCCTGCCACTCCCTTTCATCTCGCTTTGATCCCTCAGGTCGGCGGCGTCGTCTGCAAGAGCCCTCTTCTCGCCATTGCCGCATACGAGAGAGAACAAGGCCTGCCAGATAACTACATCAATTGCGCGATGTGAGTCCCTCAGGGTCGTCCTTCCGTGTCTCTCAGACCCCGCTCCCAGATCAGCGCGCGGCTCCCATGGCGCCTGGCAGAGGTTCGAGCGCGGCGAGATGCCCCTCTTCCCTTTCTACGAAGCCTTCGGCCAGCAGCTCTCCGACACGACGGTCAACAACCCCTGCTACGCCGACTACTGCCGCCGGAAGAGCCTAGGTAATCCCCCCCTCGTCCCCGTCCTCCCGCGGCACTCATCTGCCGGGCCCAGCATGCCCCAAGCTCCCGGACAAACTCGCCATCAACGGCAGAGAGGTGAGCGTCCTCGTCGCATCTCCCCCACCACCACCACCACCGCCGCCGCCGCCACCGCCGCGTCCGCACTGAGCGCGCCCGCCAGCTATTCGGCCGTATGATGCGAGACAGCAGATCCCTCGACGAAGCCGTCGTCGAAGCCATCCGGCGAATAAGAGGCGCGTCCGGCTACTTGCTCCTCACGACGGGGCTCCGCCCCAGCCTGACACGCGATCCAGCCACACGCAGGTGGCGAGTCATCGCGCTCACCAACAACTTCTCCAGCAACGCGTCCGACATGCTCGCGGAAGCGCCGCCGTCGGCGGAGCTCTACCCGGGCGTCACCCTCCAGTCTGAGCTCGCCTTTCTCGGCTGGGAGGACGGGCCCACCCCTCCCGCGCTGCGCGCCCTGTTCGACGACTTTTGCGACTCGAGCACGCTGGGAATGCGGTGCGCACCCCTTCCCCCCTGGCCGCTGCCGCGCGCTTGTACGAAATTTATTTTGCAGAAAACCGGAGCCTGGTTTTTACCTCTTGGCCTGCGAGCGGAACGGCATCGAGCCGTCACATGCTGTTTTCCTCGATGATCTGGGAATGTGAGTGGATCCAACGGTGAACGCGGTGGCAAATCTCTGATTTCGGACGCGGGACGCTTCTCGTTTCTTTTTTTTAAAAAGGAATCTCAAGGTCGCACAGAGCCTCGGTATGGAGACCATCCGTAAGTGGACACCGACGTTATCGCCTGATGCTGTCCGCATGGCACACGCATGTCCTCACGCCGCTGGACGACGCTGACCTATTTATTTATTTATTCTTTTCTGATAGACGTGCCGATAGGGAGGTCGCACAGCGCTATCGAGCAGCTGGAAAGGAAGTTGGGCATCGAACTCACGACCGAGCGCCTCCGGACACTTCCCAAGCTTTGATACGTCGGACAAGACACGCGCGCTGCGCAGCACATCAGCCCTGGAGGGGGGGGGCGATGGTGGATGGGCGAATTTGTCCTCATATTAACGCATTTCGCGAAGCACGTAGCAGCGCAGTATAACAGCACCCATCTCTATTCGCATCGTGTAGCGTCGAGTACGTGTTACATCATGAGTACTAGAACGGCTTGTCCGACGCCGGGATCTTGTCCTCGTAGTATCCGCCTACCTGCCGCCGATGTCAGACACCGGGCGAAAGAGCGCACCCGCGGTGGGGTGCAGGGACGGGGTTGCTCACCAGAGGGACCTTTGAGAGGAACTCGCGCTTGACGAGTGGGGTTACGGACAGCACCTAAAGCGGCGCAGGCCGAGAAGAATGGTTAAATGCGCGAAAAGAGGGTGGGATGGTTATGGACGCACGTAGAGCGCCATGATGCCGGCACCGACGCCCCAGAGGCCCATGCTGGGACCCCATCTGCGCGCAAACTGACAGCAGAAGGTGAGCGGGGGGATTCGGAAGACGTAAGGCATAAGGGTGGGGGGTGATAGGACGCACCGAGAGCGGGAGCTTGTGGTCGGGGGTGGTGTGGAAGGCGAGGCGGGGCATGGAGTGTGATACTGTGGAGGACGACGAGGAGGGACAAAAACTCGGTGGACGGTGGCAGCGGATGAGCTGGACGGTGGGCAAAACTGGGTCGAGCGCGCGTGCGCCGGGGAGCGGAGTTGGAAGACCGGCGAGGTGGCCGGGCGGGCGCTTGGATGGGAGTCGGTCGGTGATTTTCCGAGGGATTGTTTGCTGGGCAGCCGTTCTCTGCTATCGGCGCCCTTCGCCCCTTCTTGTCGGCTCTTCTTAGCCTTTGCTCGCACCGGATCACAGACGCCACGACGCCCCCGCTCTAATGGCCAACCCCCGCCAGCGACGAAAGCTGCGTTCTGGGGCGCACAAGCCCGTGCGCCATTCGCGGCACGCAAAAAAGAATCTGAACAAACAGCCACGTCCGTGGGTTCTCGCGCCTAGTAGTAGCAGACAGACGAACGTCGACTAAATCATGGTATTCTCGCTAGCCATACGCGGACCCAAGGTTCTGCAGGACGCATGGGACAAGCACAAGACTGTCAGACAAAAGTGATATCTATTCCGTGCACGCGGCTCGAGTCTGTGCAGCAGCTGATCAATGTCGTATCTGCGCAGCTACGAAGCGTTGGGCCTCGTTGCGTCCCTCAATCCGACGGCCTCTGGCGGTGCTGAGATGCGTCTAGCTGGATCAGCCGAGCGGCCGGGAGCAGAGGAGGCCACAGAGGCGTCTTCCGTGCAGACGGGGAAAGCGAAAGCGGCGAGGACGGGGGGAATACGAAAAGGGTATGGCCGGATTATCCGAGATGAAGCAGGGAATGTGGTGGACGTGCAGCTCGGGGAGGACGAGGGAGAGGGGGAGGGGGAGGAGGCGGAGGCGGGGATGGAGGGGGTGCCCGACGCGACCGAGGACGAGTCGCTCGGGCGGTGGGTCGGGGTTGGGACGAGGCCGTCGACGGAGGGCAGCGCGCGTGTGGTTCAAGGTCCGTGAGCAGTCTTGGGGGGGAAGGTGTCTCTGTTTGTACAGGATCATGCTGACGCCTGTCTCGCGGGAAATCGCGGGTGACGGCTCCTCTCCAGCTTTGGAAGACATGTCAAAAGAGCGTGGGGGACGGGCGCGCCGGTTTGCATCTGCCGGGGAGTTGGCGACGCTGCGGCGATTGGTGGGCCGGTACGGGGAGGACGTGGAAGGGATGGCGCGGGACCGGAAGCTGAACGCGGGACAGCGCACGGCGGGGGAGCTCTCGTGGGCGATTAACAAGGCGGGCGGGGTGGGCGCGCTGTCGGGGGTAGAATGATGAGTAGGCACGTGCGTGTTGTGTTGTATTCTTTAAACTGGCTGGAAACGCGCGGGCGGGCTGTGTGTAAGATTGAGAACCAGAGTGGGCAGGCGTGGAGCTGACGCCGGCGGAGAGTGTGAGAGCGCATCGGCTAGGAGATCGAGCAGGAGGCGGCCGCGGAGATGGGTCGATTGAATACGTACGGCGGGTGAGAGATGGGAGAGCCCAGGGAGGGAATGGGCGGGCCCGTTTGGCGCGGGTGCGCGGCGGTCGCGATCTGGACGAGGCGGGACGAGCGGGAAAGGAGGACTGGAGACCGAGAGCAGATCTGACGGGCAGGTGGCAGCGCAATCAGAGTTGGCGGCAGAGTTGGCCCTCGACCAGCCCCTTCCGGCGGACTTGGCTCGCCCCTCTGCCCCATTTCCGCATTTCCTCTCCCGCCCCCCGGCCAGCAACGCATGGAAGCCTTGAACATCTTATATTTTAGCGACCCCCGCATCTCTATAAAACCCTCGGCCCCTCCCCTCCGTCCGGCTTCTTCCCCAGCCCCATCACCCGGCCTGCCATCCACCCATGTCCCCGAGGAGCAGATCCTCCTCCTCCTCCCCTCGCCCCTCTCGCCGCGTCTCCGGACAGCCAAAGTCCACCCGCCAGCAGTACAGTGGTACGTCCCGATCTCTCTCTCTCTCCCCCGCCCACTCACCCCGTCTCCAGCCTGCGGCGCGTGTCGCATGCGTAGGTGTGTATCATTGCCCCAGCCCCCGCTGACCCCGCCCCCGCTGACCCCCCGCCCCCTCC